CGGCTAAACCGTCCAATCACCGAGCTGAGGATCTTGCATACGTCTGTTTCCGGTGTTTATGACGATGTGATGTGAGATGTGAGATGTGAGACTGGGTTGGAGAATTGCACAGGGGAAAATAACGTATCTATGCTGCGGATTTTGTTAAACTAATACGTTTGCGCTGTGGACCAACACTATAAATTGACGGGGAAGGGGGTAGCAATAAAGATAACACCATTAAACAGTTACACAACATAACAGACATAATATCGATAGCAGCGTCCCTAGCAACCACCTTGGTAACAATGAAAACGTTGTATTTACACAATTTCCTGAAGTATTTTTCGTAATAACTAGCAAACTAAAGATCATGTACATCCACTGCACACATCATCTGAAATAACAACTCATATTTCTCGCATCAAATGACATCAAAACGCATTTTAATGGCCAAACTAACCTTAAAATAGGCATTTTCTACCGAGAATAAAACGAAGGTCGGCCATGTTTTTTTATTTCTGCGGAGAGAAAGTTGAAGATCACGTGACATAGACGCCAGCCATTGGAAATGAATGGTGAAAAAAAACGTAGGGATCCTACAATTTCAGAGGCGTTTTTGTAGAAATACTACGTCCCAAGTTGTGGACCAACGTAGTTATTACACGTTTAGATGTGAGACTGGGTTGATCTATCTATCCATCCATCCATCCATCCATCCATCCATCCATCCATCCATCCATCTATCCATCTATCCATCCATCCATCTCTAAGTATATCAGAGTGGTTGTGTTATATTAAAGTGGACCTATCATGCTATATTTAAATGATATATTGTAGGGCCATACCTATATAAGGTATATTTATACGTTTCTGTTTTCAAAATACCAAACAGATCATGCATTTTAGCCATGCCTCATTTCGCTCTATGTGCTGTTTGCTGTCTACGGGTCTGATTCTGCTGACCACGCCCCCCTGCAGGAGAGGGGAGACGTGCTCTGATCAGCTGCTGGGCTGTCAGAAGAGGGGGAGAAAAAGAGATCTCCGTCCTCCGTGTTTTATTATATAGAGTCGTTATTCATTTGTTTTAAAGCTCAATAAATAACAAAGAAGACCTTTGACCGGCACTTTTCTAATTTTGTCCGGAAGATTTAAACTTTAACGGACATCTTGACCAGCGAAACAAACTGAAACTGAAACTCTGCCGCACGGTCCCCTCGTTCCTTGGAAGAGGCGGAGAGGTGGGTGTTTGTCATCTGCTGGTGGACTAACCGGAGAGAATTACAGTGCTTGCCTCGACGGGGAGGGATTGCATTGAATTACAGCAGCAGGAGCAAACGCTTGCCTCGGGGAGGGAGAAAAAAAGCCACAGTGAAGAATAAACAGAAGGGTAACCATGGTAACTATGGGCGGGAAGTCTTCTTCGCTGCTTTTGTGGCAGACTACAGCGCCACTTACAGTCCTGGCATATGTACTACAGCGTCTCCAGCGCTTTCGAGCGGCAATGGCCGGCCGTGGCCCAACCCCACATTCCCCTGATAGGTGGAGAGTTGGCCCAATAGCCGTAGCGCCACTTTCCTGACGTCAGTAACGTGTACAAATCTGGATCAGTTTTTATCAGATCCGTTGCAGCCCCGTTTTTAGAGATTTGGGTATGGAGGAAAATAGAGAGGGTTGTGTTTTCTGACACTTGGTGAGTTCCCTGGAACACCGGGGACACATATTCATGTATAAAAGATGTGCAAAAGTGCATTTTGCATGATAGGTCCCCTTTAAGTAAGATATCATGATCCCAACAAAAAGGGAAGTGTGAATGTGAATGTTGTCAGCCTGCAATGCACGCATGTTGTTTTGTATTACAGGGTTTAACATGATGAGGTGTGCACTGCAATAATCCTGCCAGAATGGAGCAGCTTTTTTTATCAGTTGTATTGGTATTGTGCTGATTATTTTAGATTTGACCCATGATTTAACCACTTAAAGTGTATTTGCATATGTATTTAGATGCATTTTGTAAAACAGCACTTTTGATCCTCCACCAATCCACTAATCACGTCTGTTTTGTAATTCATGCTGTGTCTGGTTTTGTCTGATTTCATCTGGTAATCCACATAGTTGAACTGTGTTCTTATGCTAAAGGTTTAAAAAAACATAAATGATCTGCTCCTTGATGAACTCCCTAATATTGAAAATCAAAACCAAAAGGAGAAAACAACCCTGATTATTATTGATCTTTTCTGATTTGATAATCATTATAGAGATTTTTAGACAGACTTTTCAAAACTCAAAATACAGTTAAAAGCTTCATGCAAGTCAAATGAAATCAATACATCATAAGAACATCACAGAATCTTAAGAAAAAACAAATCAAAACTCATTCAAGAATTAAAAAACAGGCAGAAACAAAAAGATACAAATAATAGGTAACGTCAAATCAGGAAGAGCTCTCAGATAAAGAATTTAAAACAAGAGATTTGAAACATTTTACAGACTCCGCCAAACTGTTTTTTGGGTGTGTGTGTGTGTGGGGGGGGGGGGTTAAGGAGTTAACCCTTATTCTGTACAGACTGGTAAAAAAGTGAACTGAACAAGGAGAAAGAGTGGCTCCCCCTGCCTGTAAAAACATACACTTACAGTATATTTCACATAAACAATCACAGTCTGTTCTAATGAATACGTTAAGTCTATGTCTATCCCAGAGTGCACTGCTGCATCATTTTATAGTAAAACATTTCTTGGATTCAATATATATACTACTGTTCATAGTGTTTATACAAAAAAATAATGTTCAGACGTTAAATACATGTTTTATATTTGTCATATTTATATACTTTCATTACGTACACATATACCTATACATTACACTGCATTTGATGGTTTCTTTTGCACTGGTTAGATGCTACCTACATGTTGTTGACCCGGTACTCTGTCCAATGACAGTAAAGTTCAATCTAATCTATCTGTCTGTGTGTGGGAATGTGAGGGTGAGTTTGTGTGTACATGTGTGTCTGTGGAGGGGGTTAACCACAAGATAACAGAGACACTCATCCTAACCGCTGACCCCCGCTGACCTCTGGTAATTGCAGGAAAGCCTGTAATGACAGAGCTCATCTATCAGCTGACCTCAACAGCCCTGTTGTCCATCAAACAAAATGATATTCTAGATGTCTGAGAGAATAGGCCCACCTGTTGGGGTAGTCTTTGATTCATTAAGTGTTCAACATGACAACTTGGGCACTCACATAAAGGCAGAACAGCTGTGATACCATTTTTAGATAAATAAAGAGACAATGGGCGTCATTCATCCATATCTTGAGAAGGGTCCTCAGAAAAGTCTACGTTGAATTGTTCTTTAAGAGTTTTTCGTTCTTGTGTTCACTTATTGATTAATTGCATTGTCCTCGTAAATTGAAAGCATGTGCCTGTCAATCTTGAATAGCAGGTAAACGCACTGCCAGTCACCATAACATGGACGAGACTGCAGGGCTGTGAGTACACAGAAACTGAAAAGAGATAATTAAGTCAAGGATGGCCAAAAGCAACCTAAAGAGTTCTTAAGTGGAGGTACACAGTAAGTGAACCCCAAAAGAGCTTAATATTTAGATGAATGGTATGCTATTACTTGGTCAGTGGTGATGTGTTACTGTAGAGTTATTTTGGTTTAAAAGGGTCAACATTGATTAAAATTTAAATAAACAATTTTCCCCCCAAACATTTTCTGTACTCAAATGTGCAAATATGCTCTGGAGTTTACGTACATTCTGTTCTTACCTTACAAAAAGTGCAAATGAGAAAACATTGGCGCATGTCAGAGTTTTCATGTATAGATTTGTTGGTGGAAAGGGTGTAATGCTCTTTCTTTTATTCCATGAACTGGACATTTCTGGACCTTTTTTGTTAAGATTTGTTGCCTCTTTTGTTAAGAACAGGTATAAGTTATCAAAAATAAATGAAATGTTAGATCAAGGGAATATGCACTATTTGATTAATTGTGTTGTCTTACTTTAACCCTAACCCTTAAACCTAACCCTAAAAATGGAATATGCTCTCTGTCAATTGATAATCCCCTTAAAAGGATGGTATACAAAGGTGATACAAACTACAAGGATTAGTTAGAGTGATGACCTTCCACCAGGTCCTGGGATATTATTTATGGTTTAACGTCTGCAATGGTAAAGCCCATAGAGATTCAAAAGTATATTACCAGCTGCTCTATCAGGTTATACACTACCAGCCTGATATTGGAAGTGCATTTGGTTTGTGTTCATAAATATTTAACCATATATACTCCATTTGAAGAAACGCACCTGTCCAATGACTATGCGGCCTGTACGTTTAAATCTAGTCCCTTTTTTACCTCGGGAGGGATTATGTGGCTGACCAGTAAAAAAGACAAGGCCCGTCATTGTTACTCTTTCTTCTGGCACAAAGATCTCATTCAGATTGTGATTCAGCAATTTTCTTCAAGGTTGTCGCACGTCACATACTCAGATACATACTCTTATATTCAAGAAATGTAAAAGGAACACTGGTATAAGCATCTTTACAGTATATATAACATTATCAGAACTGTATAAATGGTTTTGGAAATATTTGTTCTGTAAATGTACAACACTCGTCTGCAGATTCTATATATAATAAATATGTTATTGATTTCTGAGACTGCATACACTTGGAAAGACAATGGGTATTCAGAAAGAATCCTGATGGTTTTCCATGTGACCCCAAATCACACTGAAACATAATCACGTTTTCGCATTTGCAAGCCCAGTTCGAAGGTAAACACGATGCCACCTTAAGCTGACTCCACCTTCACTCGTCTAAGCTGTATAAAGAAGGTAGAATCTGTTTCTCCCTCTCCCTTTCTCTCTCACTAAAAGTCTTATGCAGGACCTTGAGCCAACGGGATCCGATATCGCCTTCACCTCAGGAGGGTTGAGCCAGCGGACACAGAGGGCCTTCTATCCCACCGAGCCCTGGAAGAGAGTATTTCAGCTCCTTCTTCATCCCCAGCTCCAACCATGTACTCTGCAGGCCTGGAGATCCTCGGGATGATCCTGGCCGTGGCCGGCTGGCTGGGGGTGATCGTGACCTGCGGCCTGCCCATGTGGCGGGTCGCTGCCTTCATCGGGCAGAACATTGTCATCTCTCAGGTGATCTGGGAGGGCTTGTGGATGAACTGTTCAGTGCAGAGCACGGGACAGATGCACTGCAGGGTGCACGAATCCATGCTGGGGCTGCCGGTGGACCTGCAGGCAGCTCGTGCCTTGGTCATTGTTTCCATGGTGCTGTCTATAGTGGGCATCGGCCTGTCGGTGGCTGGGGCCAAGTGCACCAACTGCAGCCGGGACGTGAGCAGCAAACCGCGGCTCATGGTGGCTGCTGGAGTGACCTTCGTGGTGGCGGGGCTGCTGCTGCTAGTGGCCGTGTCCTGGACAGCCAACGCCATCGTGCTGGGCTTCTACGACCCCATGCTGGAGGAGACGGGGAAGAGGGAGTTTGGTAATGCTCTGTACTTTGGCTGGGCTTCCTCCTGCCTCCTCATCCTGGGGGGAGCCCTGCTCTGCTGCTCCTGCCCAGCTCCAGCAGCGACTGTTGGTGGCTCCATGCCCCATCGGGTGGACTACTCAGCTGTCAAGACTATGTCCGTCAATGGATACCCCAGAAGAGACTATGTATGAACGTGTGACATGTCGCAGATGAACATACGATGACTCGTGTTAGCCTATTTGTCCACAGCAGACGGATGTTAATGCTATCATGGGCTTTGGCAATAAGTACGAACCACTGATGCTATAAAACATGTTTTATATGTGTTTTTGATTTTTTTTTTTTTTACTGTAGAGGTGGGCATCTTAAATTGCTTTTAATATTTTATTTAAAATATTTATACATTTTAGTGGTTATTTTTCTAAGATTATGATTATGTCTGATTTTAAATGTACATGTTTATCTAAATTACAACTGATTAAAGCAAGTTTTCTTTTTATAAAAGAAGAATTTACAAGAATTTACTAAAGCCTTCTTCGCGGTGGAGATTCCATTTATAACCCTGTGCTTTCATGCCAAGTCAGAATTCAATGCTCAAATTAAGTGTAACATAGCAACTATGCACAACTTCTTACTATACAAAGACAGGGGCAGGTGGCAGCTGAGTTCAGCCGAGTCTGACCAATAAGAGGTGCACGCCGAAATGAGGTATTTTATTTCAATGTAGATGGAGGACAGACACAATGGGTGGCTTGTTTCAGAGGAGCACCTTATGCTTCCCTTCCATTGTAGCCTGTTCTCCATTCACAGGTGAAACTGAGTCAGAGATAAAAGTCTCCCTCTGCAAGGGGAGGTAACCTCCACTGTAACCGAGTCTGAGCCACAAAGACCCCATTGATCCGAGGGGTTCCAACTGTTTACCACGGGTGGGACTCACTGTAATGAAAGTGTTTCTACATTTTCAAAGAGTCACCTGAAACAAAAAAGAAGACAAAACAAAAGCATGTTCTGTAGGAATAATAATGCAACAGTTGGATTTGTAGAAAGATGGAAACACCTCAGCAGGCCCACTGTCACATCTGAGGTGTCACAAACCATTTAGAGTCATAATCAATTCCCTACAAACATTGGTCTAAAGTGAGTAAAGTAGATTTACTCAAGTACTCTACCTAAGTACACTTCTGAGATACTTGTACTTTACTTGATTATTTCCATTCTACTCCACTACAGTTCAAAGGTAAATCATGTACTTTTACTCACCTACATTTATTTAATACCTTTAGTTACTTTACAGATCTGGATGAATGATGTTAAATCAGACTTTAGTTCCACCTGGAGTAAATGTTAATGATCAATCATTATAAAACATATTATATATATTATGGACTATCATAATGGACCAATCTGCACAATGACTACTTTTACTTTTGGTACTTTAAGTATGTTTTGATACTAATTATTTTGTACTTTTACTTGAGTAACTTTTCGATTGCAGGAATTTGACTTCTAACAGAGTATTCCTACACTCTGGTACTTCTACTTTTACTTAAGTACAAGATCTGAGTACTTCTCCCACCTTTGCTTACAAAGTACTTCCTATTCTACCAGTTGTACATTTTTAATACATAAAGGTATATCGTGAAGTATATTGGTAGGAGAAAAAAGCTAAAATCATTAATGTTAACAAAAGTGCATTATTTTTAAGAGTCACATTCTTAAAGATTATTTTTTGTAAAAGACTCTGCTACCCATTAAGCCTTGCTTTAATTTCACACTATACAACGTATCTCCTTTTTACATCTGTCAAAGAGTAAACCGGTCAGGAGACTTTTACACTTTCAATTCTTGTTCAGGTACATTCAAACGTCTTCTCACATATTCTTACTACAATGTATAGATACAAACTTGCATGGATATTGGAAAATTCATAATTTACAAGAAACAAAGATACAGATTGAAAACATCTTCTTGACCTACTTTAGCTCGAAGAGGTTAATGATCAAGAAGAATAGATTTCTAAATATCCTGCAACCCCCCCTTCAGTGAGCTCAGACCCTGCAGGCAGGATTGTGTTACTGAGCCCAGCCGTGCAGTCATGTGTTCATAAGAAGGTAAAAGAACCCGGTCAGAGGTGAAAACACTTTCTGCCGTAAGAGCAGCTCCCACTTCACTGGAATTTCAACCAAACCTGTTATCGTTGCTAAAAGAATGACATGTACTGTAAAAGTAAGGTTGGCAAACATTTAGACCTCATGGCAAAGAGAGTTACCAGAAGTAACCAGTGTTTTGTTCTGATTAACAATCAGACACAAATAAAAGGTCTCCTGTGTAGCATTAAGGGACTAAAATTCGCAAATATGTTGTGCAACCCTGTATTGTAAAATGACAATATAAGAAACCATGTCGTGGTGAGTCAGAAACTGAAGTGATGTTGGGTTTTTACACAACCATCAAATGCCTTTAAATACAGGCACTACATCACATTGGTAAAGCAGAGACTTTCATTATTTATTTTTTGTTAACTGAACTGCAGATTCAGAGTGTGTGTGTGTGTGTGTGTGTGTGTGTGTGTGTGTGTGTGTGTGTGTGTGTGTGTGTGTGTTTAGAAGGGTCTTTTTCTACAGCACGTGCAAAAGTTAAATTGTGGTTAAAACCTCTGATGCACTACGACCTTCAGAGCAAGGACGCTGATAAGACACCCCCCCCCCCCCCCCCACCACCACCCCCCACCAATAGCACACGCACTCAGACAATTGTTTCAAATTCCAACACGCTGGCTGATTCTCTTTTTTTGTAGTAAGGTTTCCTTGAACCATCTCTAGAACTGTGTTTATGTCCAGAGAGGAATGCATGCTAATAATACAGATGTTTCTATGTGCCCCTTCCACATGCAGATGCATTATTGTTTGTCTTGCATTGCGGTTCTCACATGTGGTCTCTGTCCTTAACTTCCCATGGGAACCTAGGCAGCTTGGAAAAGCTATGTTTAAAACATATTTTAGCAGCACACACCCCAACAACATGATGTAACCTTTTATCATATGGGGGTTTTTAAATAAAATGTAATGAATAATGACGTCTTCTGATATCTGTGTCAAAAGAAACCTCTGCTTGAAAAAATACGTCAGGTGATTTAACTGGAAATATTCTGGGTATCGTCTCTCCCAAAGATTTTAGAAAAAACGTTTTATAAACATCTTCTTCCTAATTTATTATTTGTAAGCCATTCACTATTATAAGCCAGCTGCTGTTTTTATTCCCTGTCTTGCAAGATTGTTGATAACCCTCTCAAAACTTAACTCAAGTACATCCAGGGATGTAAAGTAACTAAGTACATTTACTCAAGTACCGTACTTAAGTACAATTTTGAGGTTCTTGTGCTTTACTTGAGTATTTACATTTTTAGCTACTTTGTATTACAAATCAGAGGTAAATCATGTACTTTTACTCAGCTACATGTATTTAATACCATTAGTTACTTTACAGATTTGGATTAATGATGTGAAATATAATCAACTCTTAAATCAGACATTCACATTCATATTTTCACGTCTTGCCGTGATACCGGGTTGGACTGAATAGCTAGATTCCAGGAACATCTAGTGAGATCAGTACAGACCCTGCAGTATACAAAGTCATTCAAACTAGCTGCACCTTTACCAGCTTTGAGAACACTTTCATGATCAATCATTATAAAACATAATCATATATATTATTCTGAAATGGACCAATCTGCACAATGAATACTTTTACTTTTGCTACTTTAAGTATATTTTGATGCCAATACTTTTGTACTTTTACTTGAGTAACATTTTGAATGCAGGACTTTTACTGTAACAGAGTATTACACTCTACCACTTCTACTTTTACTTAATACAAGATCTGAGTACTTTTCCCACCTTTGAGTACATCTAATAATTAACAATCCCTTAGCTGCTTACTAACAAAACCCCTAAAACGAATCATTATATTTGCGCTAAACAACTGCCTGAGGATCCTTCAGAGAAGAGTGCAATGAGAAACCTGTGGGAGTTGAAATTGTGTCTTCCACTTTCAGCCACCATTATTTACAGGCTGTTATCCATTAACTACTCCAGACCTGAGATACAGGCTCTCTGTTTACTCTCCCCTCACCCAAATAGATGGGGGAGCTACCGGGGGAGAGGAAGTTGAATGATTAAACTGAGGCTGTTTACATGCCAATGCTGGGTTTTTGTACGTCGAGGCGAGGTGGGACTGAAGGCGATTTGAATTCCCATCCGGCCAATAACCAGGTGACTCCACCCTCTGTGCTAAAGAAATCTGCTTATATGAGCAATCAGAACTCCACAGAAAACTCACTTTGTCCACCTCTGAAATACTGACGTAGAGAAGACTTCTGCTCACTTTGACTCAAAGATTTACGACATGCCTTCAGTGGGACTGGAGATACTTGGAGTGGGTCTAGCTGTCCTGGGATGGATCTCAGCCATTGTGTCCTGCGCCCTGCCCATGTGGAGAGTGTCAGCGTTCATCGGGGTGAACATCGTCACAGCGCAGACCACTTGGGAAGGCATCTGGATGAACTGCGTGGTCCAGAGCACAGGTCAGATGCAGTGTAAAATCCACGACTCCATGTTGGCTCTCACTGCAGACCTCCAGGCCGCCCGCGCTCTTACTATCATCTCCATCATGCTGGGCATTGTGGGAATCATGGTGGCCATTATGGGGGCAAAATGCACCAACTGTGTGGATGACGAGTCGGCCAAGGCTCGGGTGATGATAGCTGCTGGGGTGGCCTTCATCCTGGCCTCACTGACCCAGCTGATCCCTGTGTCCTGGTCAGCCAATTCCATCATCATGGAGTTCTACAGTCCAATCATACCTGAGTCCCAGAAGAGGGAGATAGGGGGGGCTCTGTACCTGGGCTGGGCTGCTGCCGCGTTCCTGCTCATCGGAGGGGGGATCCTCTGCTCCAGTTGCCCCCAACAACCTGAGAAAAGGTACGGGCCTCCATCAAAGGTGATGTACTCCCAGCCGAGGTCTCTGGCCCAAAGTGGTTACGATAGGAGGGACTATGTCTGAACTCACACCTGCTCTTTCTCACAACTTCGCCATCATGAAAAAGACTGCTTGGAGAGATCTCCAATTTGTTTATAACTTATACACATCTTTCTTAATGTTGAGATGGTGAAAACTATTTTCATGCCACTATATGCCATTTAGAACAGAGCCTGACTTCAAAATTGTTTGCCTTTATTAAATCTATTGTGTGTTACTTTGATGCTGTTGGAGGCTAACAACTGTGTTAGTGATGCTGTGTAGCCTGTATTTTATACTATGGAAATAATTGTATAATTTGTGACCCGAATTCAGAAAATACATGAATCTGCATTTGTACTTCTTTATTGTTTTTCACTGTATTGGTTGTGTATGTGTATTGACAAGGAAGTTCAAGTAAGCGTGTCATGAAGTCATTTCATTTTGGAATCTATTCAGTGTGTAAATCAGTTAATCTGAAATGTTTCAATGTTCAACATGTTCCATTTTAAATTAAAGGCCTTTTTGTATTTAAGTTGTCTTGATCATTTAAACATTTGACAAATATATTGGTTTATGTTTTCTGTCTCCTTATCGTTATTAAGGGTGAGCAGCTGAAAAAAATGGTATTTTTAAGTTTATTAATAACTTCTCTGTTGTTTTTTTTGTCATGTTCATCAACAATGCCCTGAATTCTATTGTCACCTCCTAGGTGGTATGAGCCCTCAGGTTTAAAACCCCTGCTTTATTTCACAGTATAAATGTGCCCATAGTAAATATTTAATTGGTTTTAAGGTCATGGTACACTCAAAAAACAGAAACGTTGAACCTAAAAAAAATATTGAAACTTTAAATTATTGCTTTCAACTAACCTGATACAGTTATGTGAAATCTGTTGACATAATACATTTAATTAATGTCAACGTTTCAGTTTTTTCAGTGTAGGTTCTGGATACCAAACTAACACCCATAGGAAAATGTTAACATATATAAACACTTAAAAGAGATTTAAGTGTTTAGAGATTTGGTAAAATATCTGGTCTCCATATCGACAGGTGCAAAGATAATTTGTGATTCCATGCACCCTGCACACTCGACCGTGAGTCTGTTCCTCAGCACATAAATCCACCTGGCTGTCTCCCAGCTCTGTGTGCTCTGTGATAACAAGAACCGCTACTTTGTCAGCTTCCCCACACTCGACTACCTGAAAACAATGGAACTGTTTCATTCAGAAGGGGAGACTCATGGGAGGGGGGCTGTCAACACTGGGGCGGTGGGGGCTTTTCTAGGGAAAAAGTCAGATCTCTGAAGAATTTCAAGGGCATTCTGTAGACAGACAGTCATTAAGGCCCATCAAACAAAATTCTGCTCTCAGGTGAAAGCCTCATAACTCTAAGTGTTAAAGTGATCCTTAAACTGAACTAGTGCATAAAGTTTAAAAGGTTTCCATCCTTGGTCTTATGAAAACTCTTAAAACCCTCTTTGTACGTTTTTTTAAAACTGCCGTCAAGCTTAAAGCATGATGTTTTGTTGTCTTTTCAACAGCATGAAGCAATGGCATTTTAGACCGGAGAATAAGAGTAGAAGGATGTAACTGAGCAATGTAGTTCAATCATTCTTTGTATATTATACATTTGAATAACAAAAAGCAAAGATCATCAGACCTGTACAAAGAAGCTTACGTTACCGACTGTAACAAGAGTTTTTCAGGAAAAGGTAGATTCTATTTTAATCAGTCACGTTTGCTGTCATTTGCACATTTTCAATCATACAGTAAGCCTTAACCCACCTTAGTACGTTTTCATTGTTTATAACAACACACTCAATGGTTGCATGCCCTTTCAGCTGTAAAAGGCCCCTTTGTGGCCCGGCCCATTGGGAGCCGGCCATGTAAGCTGATCTCAGAGTGTGTCCAGGTCCTTCCTCCTTTTTTAGTGATGTCAGCTCCTTCAAGGACGCCTCCCCTCCACTTGAGCCTTATAAAGGATCCTGGTGACGTTGAGGCAACAGATCATCACACACTCACAGATGTGAGGCCTGAAATTAAGTTAATTGCTAGTTTGGTCTCTGGTTGACTCTTCCCCTTTGCAGGTACTTTTCTGTGACCTCCTCTCAGGTGTGGCAGAAGAGGAAGACTTTTTAAGTATGTCTATTGGGCTGGAGTTGATAGGCATTTCCCTTTGCATTTTGGGATGGATTATTGCCATTTTAGCGTGCGCCCTGCCCATGTGGAGGGTGACAGCCTTCATTGGCAGCAACATCGTGACGGCTCAGATCATCTGGGAGGGCCTGTGGATGACCTGCGTGGTCCAGAGCACGGGCCAGATGCAGTGTAAGGTCTACGACTCCATGCTGGCCCTCTCCCCGGACCTCCAGGCGGCCCGCGCCCTCACCATCATCTCCATCCTGTTAGCCATCCTGGCGGTGCTCGTCTCCATCGCCGGGGCCAAGTGCACCAACTGCATTGAGGACGAGGCCTCCAAGTCCAAGGTGATGATCATCTCCGGGGTGTTCTTCATCGTTTCCGGGGTCATGCAGCTCATTCCTGTCTCCTGGACGGCGAACACCATAATCAGAGACTTCTACAACCCTTTGCTCACGGACGCTCAGCGGAGGGAGCTGGGGGCCGCGCTCTACATCGGCTGGGCGGCTGCTGCCCTCCTGATTCTCGGAGGTGGATTGCTCTGCTGCTCCTGTCCTCCTCGTGAGACCAGATACAACCCTTCAAGGATGGCTTACTCTGCCCCTAGGTCCGCAGGTGGCCCAGGGTTAGAAAGAAAAGACTATGTCTGAATGGACGTCAAGGAGGAAGAGACATTATTGAATCACAAACCTGCTCGTTTCACCAAACTGACGGCGTAATGAGGGAAAGAGCTAAGAAAACAAGGAGACTCTATCATGAAGGATGTGTTTGATTTTGCCTTTAATGTTAAGTATCTCTGATTAGACGCTTTGTTATTCAGAGACTGAAAAAGCATGCAAAGGACATTGGAGTGAAAATCTCCTTTAATTATGTTTCACAGAAATAGTGTTCTTAGTCTTTTTTAAGGTTAACACACTAAAAGTTATTGTTACAATCAGTATGTATTATATACTTTTTATACAGTTCTGGCGCCTTAATGTTTACTACTGATTTTTTTTAAATAAAAAACGCCATCACTGTATCAAGTTTAAGCTTTACAGGCACTGGGCACTGCTGATTATAATATGAAAGACTCGGATGTGTTGAATTTGACGATGGTTATCAACTATATTATGTTCTGTAAATACTGTAGTAAGAGTATGATTAATCACCTGTAAATGAGAAGACAGATGATAACTGTATTCAATGCAGCTTTTAGTGCAGTGTTGTAAGGTTGGGGATGGGTAGGTAAGGGGGGGGGGGGGGGGGGGGGGGGGCGGGGTTGACAAAGGAGTGCTTTACAGTGTGCAGAGAGCAAAAGCTCCTGGGTTCATCCGTGACAGGAATAATACCCAGGTGATATACACAATTGAAGTATATGCATTGTGCTTTTTTAATAAACACAACTCTTTTTAAAGATACATGGACATCTTTATTCATTTCAAACAACAGCCGTTTCACGAGCTCAGTCTGAAGATCGAGCTCCATTTCAGATTTCGTAACGACATATTCCCTCCCTCGTGAGTCAGCGAACCGGTAACCAAAATGACGGAGTTTTCTTATTCTGGTGCCTGAGTAAGATGACACTGACATACAATCCTGAGGGCTACCTTACCAGCAACTGGCAACTTAACCACACGCGCTCTAAACAATTAGCCACAGGATCAGTTAACGGGCAGAGGTGAGAAGTGTGTGAGCACAGAGAATGGAGTCTTTCCAGACAGGTTACATGATTTATTCGTTTCTTAACCTTCAGACTTTAGTTATCATTGCATGCTTGCATCTTCTTTCCAACACCTTTCTACCTATACAATAACACATCTGTTTGTTAAAGCTGCCAAGTATCACCAAAAACTTCTGCTGGTCACTAAACAAGATGTAGAACTTAAATTAGAAGTGCCTTGAAAAACAAAAGCATTGCGTATTTTTAGCTAAAATGGTTACATCTTGAAACCTCTGGGCCGTTTTCCGGAGATGTCCAACTTCCTTTCAATCTTCCTGTTTTTCCTGAAGTCTCTTTTATCATTAAGACATTATGAAAAGCAGGACAGCATGGCATAGTTATCTACAATTTAGCATATTTCAATTGTCTATCATCCCGAGTATTCATGATAGACGAGTAAAGTAGATGAGTAAAGCCTTTTAGCGGCCTAGTTTCCCACAACACATGCAGTCACACCTGACAAAGGAAGCGACTTGAAAGTTTAATGACCATCTCATAGTAAATATGGTGGGGGTCACTTGGGGCTATATCACATTACTTTCCAACTGTTGTCTCTTACTCCCATATCAATGTCGCCTCTAACAAAAGCCAAGGAACTGCTTGACATCTGGTCATGATTACAGTTATTACAGATTAGAGCTCATTTTGACTCTAATGATTATACAAGTAGAATCATTTTTGTATTGTTATTAAATCCATGCAAGTTTCCACATAAAACTTTTAAAAGGGGGGGCCTGGTACATTAGTCAGGAAGAGTAAATCATTCAGTGGCCTACAGTGTGTGTCTGTCAATAACATGGCTCAATGCAAAATGATTTTCTAATGCCAAGATTTTCAGGAAGACATTTTAAGCCAAAATGACAAATGAGGAAATATCTTTTAGTTTATTTTATATACAGGATGTGTTCAGATGAAGTCAGATTATACGATGCTGTAATACTGTATATGTCCTGACAAATACTTATAATGCTATCTATGGCCTGTTGTGTGCAGTGTGGTCGTAGCATTCTTAGAATTTTTGCTATCAATTTTGGATACAATCATTTAATTGCTGATTAAAAAAAATCTATTAAAATACAATTCCAATAATAATAATAGCTTGGATTTATATAGCGCCTTTCATGAGACCCAAGGTCGCTTTACAAAGAAGAACAGGAGTAGAAACAAACATAACAAAAACAAAAGGCAGTCAGACAAACAGTCAGACAGACAAAACAACAAATAGATTAGGGGCAAAAGGCCTTAGCAAACAGATGGGACTTGAGGGCCCTTTTGAAGGCGTCAAGCGTGGGGATGTTGCGGATCTCCGCAGGGAGAGCGTTCCAGAGGGTGGGGGCTGCCCGGGCCCGGCGCCATGAGGGGGCAAAAGGGGGCATTGCCCCCTCAGTTGTCTTATTTGCCCCCTCACTTTGAGCATCATTCATCCATCGAAAAGTAAAATAATTGTCACAATTATTAAATAACTTTAAATTATTATTTCCCCAACACACGATACTATGTCTAGATCAAATATGTGGGCAGGCAGTCAAGCAACGTGTAAAAAAGACTCAACCCCAAGTGAGCTTGTAGTCTTAATTAATGTTAGCGTGTGTGCTTAGCTGTAAACACAGTCGGATGGGTGACCAAAACGTCCCCGTTTTCCGGGCAAAGTCCCCTTTTTCGGTGGCCGGTACCCAGTTGAAACTCCCGAAAATGTTCCCGTTTTTGAATGTGCATTAAAAAACATAGAGCAAGGTGAAATAAAATGTTACATGTCAGTAAAAACAGAGTAACAGTGTTGTGCCTGTTTGTAGCATCAGCGTATTTCTTCTTCTACTACTTCTTCTTCTTCTACCTCTTCTTCTTCTACTTCTTCTTCTACACTGTAAAAAAGGATTTGATCATTAAGTTATTGTAACTTTTGTCTTTAAGTTACTTTCACTTAAAGGGGACCTATCATGCAAAATGCACTTTTGTACGTCTTTTACAGATGGAGCCTCTTATTTTGGACCCCAGCATACAGCTTCCTGCCGACTGCCAGCCAGTTGCCAGCCAGTTGCCTGCCAAAGACCAGTATTCAGGAATGTTAGGCCCTCCCACTATTCTCCAATTTCAGGGTTTAACCAGGAGATGGCGCTATATATTAAATAACTAAGACTTAGTTTTTCACAATAGAAAATGCAGATATTATATAAAAAAACTAAAGTTAAAATCTTGTTTTTAATGCCCCAAGAGCAATAACATCTTGTCACAAGCTTTTTGGAAGAAAAAGACTGACTCAAGAGACCTGTAGTTGACTAATTACAGGCCTCAATAAAGTTCTGCCATTGGTTGTGAAAAACAACGGTGGACATAGTGGAAAGTGAAATTGACATTGTCGAATTTAATAAAAATACAAAATAATGTATCTGTGTACGTGTTTTACTATGTGATCTGCACTTATCAAACATCTAATTAAGGCGAGACACCCCAGGTGAATAGGGTATTTTTAACTTAAAGATATCAGCTAAATATTTCTCCAGTTAATTACTTACAATAAGGCAATTGTTTTTTGTATTACAAGTTTTCTGAAATAGCATGTTTAAATATCCAAATGAACCATTATCTCATGAAATATGCGCATATTTGAACACATTTCAGGAACCGAAATCTGAACTTTGGATAAAGCCAGGATCAAAATTATTGTTTCATTTTGTAGTCATATTAGTATCTAAGGCTTTTACAGAAGGGATTTTGGATATCTCTTTGTATCACTCCATAAATCAGAAAATACTGTCAACAGCCCTAAAATATCAATTTTCACCATGTTTTTAGGTATAAAATGTTATATAATTCAGGCTATGAATTATATATGACCAAACCCTTCTGTAAAAGCCTTCATAATATTGATAGGAATATAACTGGAAGGTTTGGTGTATGTAACTGCTGAGTGATTCTACAATTTAGGGTACATTCCATGTCCATTGATGTCCATTGATGATAATTATAATTATTCTAACTATTTTCTTCAAAAATATCATATTTTGCCTATTATTGGAAAGCATGTTATAATATCACACAAACATTATGTGCATCCTATGCTTTATTTAGCTTGAAATGTGTCATGATGTTCTTAAATTGTCAGTTTTTTGCTATGTCCGTTTTTCAGTTGAGGGTGTCTTGGATTCAAAATAATGAATAAAAACCATTAAAGTAAATTTAAAAAATGATTCATTTATTTCAAAAGTCTAAATACTAAAGAATAATAACATATTTTTAATTGATTTCCCCCTTTAAATAATTTAAATATCTTAATATATGAATGTCCGCAAAAGTTCTGTCAACTATGTTACTAACAGAACTTCCCCCTTTAACTCAAAAATTGTTTGTCCCAATACCATGTCACCAGCATCACATGATGCCATGTTCCTCTTTGGCAGACATTTTCAACACACTGTGGTGATTGTCCTCTACATTTTTACAATATTTTATGTATATATAAAACGATGTTAACACTTTCTCGTTCTTAATATATGCTATATTTAGGGTCGATATGTGTTGAATTTACTTTAAAATAGCAGATCACTGTGATTCACTTCTCCGCGGCTCCTCCGTGCAGAGAGGCCCCCCCCCCCGTTGACAATTCACGAGCGTCTAACTCTCTCCCCCCTGTGAAGAGATATCACAGGGGGGGGTTGGGACACACACATTCCGATGGCCAATTCGTTTTAAACAAAGAGTGGGGTGGGGGCTGGTGAACGGTATGGTCAATGTTTGTAAACACTGTGACATTTTGACTTTATTTGATCATTTCAGTTAAAAACTAACGTTCATATTTCATATTACTGTTTTGCCTGGCTGGACCTGTAATTTACAGGAAAGGAGTGCACGCTACTAAAGAGACACGCTACCATGGAAACCAAACAATGGTGTTGCTGTATTGAAGTCCGAGTGGAAACAGTCATATTTGGAGCGTTATGTTAGAATGAAACAGCGAGGTCGTGACTCACAAAAAAAAAGTGTTACTTCACTAACTGTAAGCTTGTCACTCAGAGTAACCTACAGTTAACTTAACTGTTGGAAAAGAAAGATCAGAGTTAGGAGTGTGAACACACAGCTGAGAGCTGCCGTTTCATTCTGACTGTTTAAAAAACGGTAACAACGGACTATTTTTCTTAGCGGATGCATGTAAATTTAAATCAATACATAGAACTATGTTTTAAATCAATAAAAATATTTTCTAAATCCATAAAAGCATTTTAATTAATATTGGGAGTCATGTCGTTACTTTGTTGAGAATGTGGCCATGTAATAAGCGGGATAATTTGCAGCGACTTGGTCATTATGGGGAAAAATAACACCCAGGGATCAAGATCCCTCCGCGACGCGGAGGGATCAGTAATTTTTAGTGAATTACTGAGTTTAGGCACGTTAATAACATTTTAATGAAGTTGAATACAGTATATTCATATTTGTCAGTGATTTCATGTCAATTCGGCGAACATAAACGATTAAATTAGGATTAAAAATCGAGAGCCG